ATTAATAAGCTTTGAATTTGATCTTGGCCATAAGATCATGATTGTGCACTTGAATCTGTATGCTTCTACTTATTTCCTATTGATTTCATCTTTTAGGAAAACAAAAAAAGCACCGGTTTTATTATGCATAAGATCATGATTAATATAATTAACCCTAATCAATGCTCCAGCCGTACCCATCAATTCTTTGCCAATCTTGATACTGTTATTGGTTAGGTTTTAGTTGATTTTGTAATTGGCAAATTCTATGAATAAAAGGACTTAACTTGATAGAGTGTAAAAGTTCAAGGAGTAATGTGCAATTTATTTAAAAGTTAGTTAAATGGATCTAGGGTCTTGAGTTTGGAACAAGGAGGAAAACAGCACGGATTTTCGCTCGACTGTCGCCAAAGGTTGGCGCGAGCTACAAAAACAGAAACTGCATCGCTAGACTGTCACCCCTCCTTCGCTCTAGCGACGGCCTATCGCTCGACCGTTGCTGAGCTCTCGATTGAGTGACTGGGTTATACAGGAATATTTTATTTCGCGTTTTAAAAGCTTTTTTCTCGCCCCATCTGTTTTCTACCCTACCTATAAATATTCTAAAGCCACAGAACGAGATTTCTTAAGGTTCAACATTGAGCAAACCTTGTGATTTTGTATTCTCTTCATCTTTGAAGCTTTCAACCTTCGTAATTCTTTGATATACTGTTCTTGGTCGCAAAAAACATCAGATTCCTAATCCAAATACCAAACCACTGCTTCCTACATATCTGTCAGAGTTGCTGAAGATCGAGGAAGGTAACTGGAGTTCCAGTTGGTGAAGAGCGGGCTGTTCTTCGAGTTTCACAGGAGATAAACGATTCCACAAAGTTAGGAGTTACTGCAAGAGGGCAGAATCCAGGGGAGCTTTGAAAATTGTAGCAGGAATTGGTGCATGAGCACGAAATTGCAGTCAGGAGATCACTTAGTATGTGTCGTCATCTAGTGTGATGGACTGTAAGTCACGAATCGTTTATAATGGATTGTTGACTGCAAAGTGCCCGGAGTTTTATCCAGTTGGGATTTCTCCGTGATCATTTTTGTGTTTTTACTGCTTTATTTAATGATTATATGCACTGCGGTATTTAAACATAGGATTAAATTGACCTGATTGAATAACCATCTAGAGATAATTAATTTGTGACTTGTTGCTAATTAATTAATATTTTTAAATCCGTATATAATACCTATTCACCCCCCTTTAGTTATTGTTGGGGTCGAACTGCGTAAATTTCATTATTCATCCATGATGCTGTTCCATCACTTCCCAAATACAGCTCAAACCATGCACGTGATCCTCTAATAGTTCCATGAATTTATTTGTTATTCTTGTATGCGCATTAACCTTTAAATTGTAGCAATTAGGTTTCCAATCTTTGAGTTTCGTAATGTGAAATAAAACGTTTCGTTAACATGACACGACAAAATTAACGTGACACACTGCTTCCAAACTTGACACTCTTTTATGGATTTTGTTATAATTGATTTTTTTCTTTTTAAAGACGAGTTAAAACGTTTCTTTTAAAACATATGTTTGACGCATTTTTAATTATTTTCGATGTCTGTATGGACCATTCAATATGTCTATTATGTAGTTGTTGAAATGAGCTTGAAGATGATGTAGGCGATTTATGGGTTCGGCGTACGATCGTCGAAATTTTTTTTTAAATTAGTATGTTGTTGAAAATCTTGAAATACTAATTTGAAACAAACTATTTTGATGTCCCGTAACATTTGCTGAGATAGACCATTGCATGCGCCACTAACGACGTGGACAACTTGGCTGTGAACATTTTGGAATAATATTAATAATGCAATATTTTGACTTCGTTTGATATCTAATAATAACCTCGAAAATTGAGAAAAAACATAGAAAATTAATTAATTTTTTTTTGGTCAAAATCCCCCTAGGTAGTGAAAACAAAGAAAATCTATCATTTGAGGGAAGAGAATGACAAGATCATACTTGGGAATAAGAAAAGAGATAAAGAGCTCTGTATTCCATGAAAGTAGTAGCTAAAAGTAACTTTCAATTTTCTCATCCATGCGATGTGCTTCCTTATTTTGTTGCTCCATGCCTTGCCAATTGGTACGCTCCAATTGCCTAGTAACTTACGACAATCTTACCGTGTAAAAACGTAAGGGGGAGGGGGGAGGGGAAGGTAGATTTTGGGTTAGCCTCCCCACAAGTTCGATGCTTGTTTTATGGAGAATGGATGGGTAATAAGCTTTCCTGTTTCATAGCCATCATGTATCCTGATGAACCCAGGGATTATTTTGAAACTTTGTTGAACTTGAGCTTAGGTTTAGACCCCTGGCACGCACTAATATTTTCAAGCACTTGTGGTCCATATGCTAGAAATGTACTTAGACAGTGCTTTGTTGTTGTCTAGTGCTTCATTTGTATCAGTTGAAACCAGTTTTGAATTTGATCTTGAGCATAAGATCATGATTATGCTTCTACTTATTTCCTATTGATTTCATCATTCAGGAAAAAAACCACCCGTTTTATTATGCATAAGATCATGATTGTACACAGGGCTGCTAGACCAAAGCCAGCTAGGCAATGTCCTATGGCCTCAACTTTTAAGGGGTCAAAATAAACCCAAGTCTCTAAATTATTTTTTCCTGAAAAATGTAATGTTGAAAGAGGCAAAGAATCTCTCATGCATTATTAATTATTCTGCAAAAATATTTCTGAAAAAGGCAAAAAATGATGCCTTGTGAACTACCTTCTCACTAATCTTACCATTTATAGCCACCTGAATTGATCAGAATTCAGCTTACAAATTAATGAAAACTGAGAACAAAGAGCAAAAGAATGGAAACTCAAACTACAGAATTCTCTGTGTGTATGATAAGGGGGGAGGGAGGTATGGGCTAATATTAATTGAAATTTAATGCGTTATCAATGCCGTTGATATGAAAAAAATTGATATGAAAACTTGTGTTGTAGAGGTTGCCATATATTGTCTTGAAGCTATGGGTCTCCAAGCTATTGGTTCTTAATGCTTCCATTAACCCATTAACATTTCAAGAAATCCAATTGGAAAGTCTAAAAAAAGCAAAAAAAAAAAAAAAAAAAA